AAAGGGGATAAGGGTGGGCATATGGTGGTGTGGTGGGATGGGGAGGCGTGGGAATAATTAATTTTAATTAATTATATATTATATATATATTATTAATTGGAATAACACCTGAATTTTGAAATAATTTGACAAGTTTGTTAGTTTTGAAATATAATTCTTATATGCATGAGTTATGTATTGTTCTCAAATATTTATTATATCACTTTAATCTTAAGCTTAACTTTAAGATAGTCTTTATATACAATTAATTACATATGTAGGCTCACATAATAAATCAATAATTTCCCAACAATACTTTCATTTTTAGAAAACTAATTTTTGATAGTAAAAATGTTTATATGAAAAATGTCGTTTATACTATGTGTCATGTTTTCCACGTATTTCATGAATTCTAACTAATTTATGAATTTTTGATTAAATGTTCTTGGTGTTTTAATTCAATGAAACATGGATAGCAAACTTACTAGTACATGTACATTGAAGGTGATGACTAGTAATCGTCGAAGTACATTTTCTAGTGGGTCATAATTTTGACTAAATTTTCCACATAAATCTCCCTTTTAATTATTTCCAACTTCAACCCAATAGTGCTTAGACATCAAAACTGCACCACAATAGGTGTCGAAAAAGGCTTATGGCCACTTCATGATAATGGCCTTCTCATAGGCAAGTGAAGAAAGCATTGAGAACCAAGGGCTCAAGATTGCAAGCGATAAGAGAGCACTACTCAAGAGATTCATGAATATGATATACACGTTCAAGATTTTTTTAAGTGTTAGGTTTTTCCCAACATAAGGCTCGTGGGTACATATATTCTCTACTTGTGAAGTACACGTTTTAATCTGTTTATGATGTTTTCAAAGTTTGAAGACGCACATGATCTAAATCCACCAACCTTTTTCTTAATTTGCCTAACTTGATAATGGTTGTGCATGCAGTCAATATTTTTAGTTGTCAGAGTATGTGCTCTCGACCACTTGCAAGCAATGGCAAGTATGTGTTTATTGTGGAAGTTGTGACCATTTCTATGTTGGTTGTGATCTATTGTGACTAGATCACACATCGTCACAGTTTATACTAACTTGGTCACAGGTAATTACAATGAATACAAATTTGATCACAATTAATCACATTGAATACAAACTTTGTCACAATTAGTTACGGATAACATGTCAATGACTTGATTATATACAGTGACTTTGAAATTTTCTGTATGGGTGGGATGAGGGTGGAGGTGGGGTAGGGTATGATGGTTCCATGAAGTGAAATGTAATCTTAGTTTTTAGTTTTTGGAATCTTTTTGGGAAGTGGAGTTGGGGTGGCATAGGTGGTTCTATGGGGGTGAGTGTGTGATTTCCCATTTTAATTTTGGAAAGTTTTTTGGAATGTAGGGATAGGGTGGGAGTGGGGGTGGGCGTATATTGGTGTGGTGGGGATAATTAATTTTAATTAATTATATATTTTATATATTATTAATTTGGAATTAACACCTGAATTTTGAAATAATTAAAAGTTTGTTAGTTTTGAAATGTAATTCTTATAAGTATGAGTTATTGTTCTCAATTATTTATTATTTCATTTTAATTTTGAGCTTAACTTTAAAATAATCTCCATACAAAATTAATTACATATTTATGCTTACATAATAAATCAATAATTTTCCAACAATACTTTCATTTTTAGAAAACTAATTTTTGCTAGTAAAAATGTTAATTCTCAAATTCATGTTTGACAAAATAAGTTTGATTTACTTTTAACTACATCCAAATATGTGACATTTTGATGTATTATTCAGAAACATTATTTGTGTATTTGGTATGTTGGTATTAAACAAAAAGAGAGAGTATAAATGAATGAGATTTTTAATTGAATTTCTCTTTAATATTGTCTAATAATATTTAATTTGTTTTATATAAAAAAATGTCATTTATACCGTGTGTCATTTTTTCCATGTATTTCATGAATTCTACCTAATTTATGAATTTTTGATTAAATGTTCTTGGTGTTTTAATTTGATGAAACATGGATAGCAAACTTACTAGTACATTTACATTGAAGGTGCTGACTAGTAATCGTTGAAGTACATTTTCTAGTCAATTATAATTTTCACTAAAGTTTCCACATAAATCTCCCTTTTAATTATCTCCAACTTCAACCCAATAGTGCTTAGACATCAAAATTGCACCACAATAGGTGTCAAAAAAGGCATATGGCCACTCCTTGATAAAAGCCTTGTCATAGACAAGTGAAGAAAGCATTGAGAACCAAGGGCTCAAGATTGCAAGCGATAAGATAGCACTACTCAAGAGATTCGTGAATATGATATATACGTTCAAGATTTTTATAAGTGGTAGGTTTTTCCCGACATAAGGCTTCTAGGTACATATATTTTCTGCATGAGAAGCACACGATTTACTCCGTTTATGATGTTTTCAAAGTTCGTAGATGCACATGTTCTAAATCCACCAACCTTTTTCTTAATTTGCCTAACTTGATAATGGTTGTGTATGCAATCAATATTTTTAGTTGTTAGAGTTTGTGCTCTCGACCACTTGCAAGCATTGGCATAAAGTGAGGGTTACGATGAACATTCAAAGATGGTCATGATCTCATACTAAATACAAACATTCTTTTTCTTCTTGTACATGCTTTTAATTCACGTTGTGTAGAGAAGGGCATCCCTCTAGTGCTCTTAAATCTTTTTATTACGTTCAAGTACTAATTTATATGAATTAAAGTTAAATATATACATTTTTTATTTTTTATTTTTATTTTGTGTGTGTCTCTTTAGTGTCCCAAACCTATGTCCATTTGTCAAAGTAGTCTAACGACGGTGAAAAGACGATATTAGACCAAACGAAGATACGATATGAACTAAAGAGAGGCCAATGATAAGCTTTTATTCTAGAAGCGTGCTTGTTTTCTTGTGATTTATGGTAACAATAATGGAAATTAATAACATTTTTTAATTAGATAGGACAAACATTGTCAATATGTCGTAATTAGGTAAATCCGTCAATTGGGCCTTAATTTTCTCTGTCTCAAAAAAAATAAAAAATAATTGTTATTAGTTTGGATATTTGCAAGCAAACATTAATATAGAGATGCAATGTACATTTGATTATTAACTTAAATAGAATTTACAATTAAGCTGGTTTGTCAGAATTTTTTTGCTACATTGGTTGACATCCTCTCACATATGTTAGGGTTCCGTGTGAATAAAAATTTTTCAAAAAAATGGATCTCTCCATTGTGAGTATCGATCAAGTTGCTTGTCAACCATTTTTTAACAATATAGCATGGTTCTAGAATATACACTTGCATGTTTGACAAAGCCCAAAATAGGTTTGGGAAAAATACCGTTGACGTCCCAAATCTATTGAAACTGTAGCAAGTAGGTCTACAACCTATTATTTTGTTTTCTCCAGTCCCCGACCTTTTGTTCTTTATATCACTCGAATCCCCCGTGGACAATTTTGACCTTATCGTGGATTAAGAACTCAAATTTATATTAGAAAATCATCTTCCCTTTTCTAATTAAACCGATACGAAAGCTGAAATAAAAAAAAAAAATTGTATTTTCAACAAAAAAAAAGTTTTAATGAAAAAGAACAATAGTCAACTGAAGACCCAAATATGAAAAAAATCTTTATTGATGTTACTTGAAAACATCAAAAAGTGTTGCATAGAAATATTCACACACTTGTTGTTTGTCTAATTAGGACAATTCTTGTCCTATATATCTAATCATGCACTGCCATAATCTCCATTATTGTTCACCATCGATCGCTACAAAATAAAATAAAACAATATAACATAGTTGTACTCCCCCATAATAGTAATATTGGAAAACATTGGCAATATTTTTCATTTAACTCGCCAAAAGATTTAATATTGAAATTAATCGAAAACATCGTTAGGATGCGTGTAATAGCCAAAAAAACAAAATAAAAACTTGGGAGGTAGAAACTTCAAGTAAAATAAAGAGGGTGTTTGATACCTATTTTTATGGAAAAATGAATTTTAGAATAATGTATTGATGGAGAATGTGTGGATGAAAAATAAGAAATTTTTTTAAATTTACGTTTAATATTATTTTAATAAAAAATATATGGTTGAAAGGAAGAGAGAAAAAATGTATTTTGATAAAAATGGGAATCAAACGAGACAAAACAAAAATAAAAATAGAACTTTGATTGAAATTAAGTTGCAGGACATCATCTTTAAAAGTTGAGTGACATTCTTATAAACAATATGCCCGGTTTAGCCCTCTTCTTTTTTTTTTTTTTTTTTTTTTTTTTTCAAATTTTAATTTTTGGAATAGAGAGTGTTTAAAAAATGTGTGGTTGAAAAAGAATGTAAAATTTTCGATTTACGTGTAATATTATTTTATGAAAGATTGTGTGGTTGAAAATTCGAGAGAGGAAAAAAATGAAAGAGAATGAAGGCCAAACGAGGGCTATAATTACTGCATTCGATTTTTTTGTTATAAGTCCGGCTATGCAAAAAGTTTCCGACTCCGTTAAATGCCCAACCTGAATCATATAACATCAATAGCTGCATGCACAACCCATCACCCAAGTTAAGGAAAGAGAAGGCGAACCAAATGTGGGTACGCCCATCCACAAGCTTTGAGTTAGGAAAGGAGCGAGTCGTGTGCTTCAGGCCTAGAGAGATTGTACCTACGTACTCACACTTCTTGTACCTAATGCTTCATATTTTGATTTGCTTATGAGAAAATTAGTATTAAGGAGTAGGTCGACACCTTTGTGACGATTGTCTTGGTTGCAATTTAAATGTCTAAATATGATCATGAACAATTACTATCCATCACAATCGACTAACATCTTTTAAAAAGGTTACTAATTTTGGACAAAAAACTTTAGAAGCAAAAAGTGATGGGCACGGAGTTCTACATATAGCAATGAAGGGGCATCATAGTAATTAAAAAAGAACAGAATTTATACTCATAAACACCGGGCGCAATTTAGCCGAGACCCCTGTGAAAATTTTAACAGGGAGGCATTTGAATAACGACGAGAGCTCCAAGAGTTCGAAAGTATATATAGCGGGACCGGACCCCTTAGGGTTTTCCGTTCTTCCAGACTCTTCTACTCACATATATATATACATACAACATCTACATACAGCTTATATAGACGGAGAAGAGAGTTAGAGAGAAAATGGGGGGAAGGCCTAAATGCTATCTGGATATCGCCATTGGAGGAGAGCTGGAAGGGAGAATTGTGGTGGAACTGTATAATGATGTAGTCCCCAAAACCGCAGAGAATTTCAGGGCTCTATGTACTGGAGAGAAGGGCATTGGGCCTAATACTGGTGTCCCTCTCCATTACAAGGTTTCGTATTTCATTTTTGTTCAGATAACACAAATATATACGTGCAAATACATAAATATTTTGTTCGTATGGATTAAATTTTTTATGGGTTTATGTAATATTGATACAGGAGCATCGTTTTCTGGTTTTAATAACGAATTACCGTAAAAGGGCTCAATAGTGTGTGTGTTTTTTTTTTTAGAAGAGAAATGTGCTTTGAAGGTTTTGCTATAATTTAGTCATGAATTAGTTGTTTTATTCAATTTGTTCTTCTTTGAAGGGAGAGATGAAATTGGTCTTTTGGCCTAGGTATTATTGACATCTTTAGTAAAATGGTCAAGTTCATTTGGCTTTTTTCTTGTCCGGTTGCTTTCTTAGAGTGGTATTACTGCATTTTCTGTAGAGCTGTCGTCTTTGAAAAAAAAATAATAGCCTGAGCCTGAACTTTATCCATTGCCCTAAAGAATAGCTGAAAGCTTATAATGCTTTAGTTTGATTATATTAAAGGAATATAATTTTGGAGGGTTGATTCGATGTTGATATCCTTATTTTGTTCTATGAAGTCCAAAAGAAAGAGCACGGCTGATACTTAGTTCCTCAATCTCAAGCAATGTTCAATGTTGCGTGCTCAAGAACAACAATCTAGTATTTATTTGAAGTGAAACCGGGTTCGGTTATATGATTATTTTTTACCATTTCATTTGGTTCATCCTCAATTTATTGGAAGATTCATTGCGATCATATCAGCTTTATTTCTTTAACATATCTTTTCCTCTTCTAACATGTTTTACTATGTCAGCATCACTCTTGTGAACAGGATACACTTTAAGCCTATATACCCAACTGCCTAAGTTGTTTTTCCTAATTAGTTTGTATCACATAAACCATTTTGAGCTTGGAATGTAGTTTCTCAAGTGTCCATGAAGCTGATATTTTTTTAGGTAGGCATAGCTCTTGTTTGAGCCCCATTTTATCAAAAATTCATTTTTCCAAAACTCATTTTCAATCACACATTCTTCAATAAAATAATATTACTCATAGATTGAAAACTTTTTCTTATTTTTTAGCCACACATTCTCCAAAAAACAATATTTTAAAATACATTTTTTCCCCTTAAAAAATGGGGTTCAAACAATCAGATAGTATACATTAGAACTCATTCTTTCTGATGCCTCATTTTTTTTTTTTTTTTCAATAGATGTCTGTCACTAGAACTTGTAATTATAGGTATTTGCGACTTTTTATGAAAGTTTTATGTTCATCGTAGGGATGCTGTTTTCACCGTGTCATCAAAAGCTTTATGGTACAAGGAGGTGATATTTCTGCTGGTGATGGTACCGGAGGGGAATCCATTTATGGACTGAAATTCGAAGATGAGAATTTTGAACTGAAACATGAAAGAAAGGGCATGTTATCTATGGCCAATGCAGGACCTAACACAAATGGATCCCAGTTTTTCATCACGACAACTCGCACTTCGCATCTAGATGGAAAGCATGTTGTTTTTGGGAGGGTTATCAAAGGCATGGGAGTTGTGCGTTCAATTGAGCATGTCACTACTGGAGATAATGATTGTCCCACAGTTGATGCTGTAATTTCAGATTGTGGAGAAATTCCAGAAGGGGCAGATGATGGTATAACAAATTTTTTCAAAGATGGTGATTCTTATCCTGACTGGCCTGCTGATATTGACAACAGTTCTAGTGAGCTCTCTTGGTGGATTTCTTCTGTGGAGTTTATTAAGGGATATGGAAATGAGTATTTTAAGGTAATATTTATTGACAATATCATTGGATGGTTATTAAGCATCCTACCTCTTTTACCCATTGCTTATTCATTGTTCGGTTTTGTGGTCCTCGTGATGATTTCCTGTATATTTTCTGGCAGAAACAAGACTATAAGATGGCTCTCAGGAAGTACCTGAAGGCTTTGCGCTATTTGGATATCTGCTGGGAAAAGGAAGGGATTGATGAAGGTGGGTGTTATAGTTTTTATTGTTTTCCTCTATCATTGTATATGGAATAGACAGCGGCCCAATTTTTCATGAGCTGTTGAATTGAGACACTCTCTTCTCACTCTGTTTCTTTCCTCAAAGCAGATAAGAGTGTTTATTTGAGAAAGATGAAGTCACAGATATTTACCAACAATTCTGTAAGTTCCCTTTTTGAGTTTTTCTTTTTTAATTTTTTGAGGTAGAGATTGATTTTTTTCCCCTCATTTTTCTGTAGTTGCAAGGTTTTCCATCATTATATGAAAAGTATTGGCCGCAATATTAGGGCGTGTTGTTCTTTCACCTCTCATGCCTTTTTTCTCTGTATAATTGCTGCAATTCTTTTGTAAGATAGAAATTAATTTTTTTTTTAATATTATTTTTTTTTTGAAGAAAACTGAGAAAGAATGATCTGAAAATTTTTACTATGATGAGAGATCTGCATGCTCTTTTAATTTATATGGTTGTAATGCTTTCTTCTCAGACATTTTGGTTGGTTTTTAGCTGTTAGTTCATGCTTCATATGATTCATTGTATTGTGTACTATTTGTCACATGCCATAATTAAAATTGTTTTTCTTGTACCAGGAAAAGATGTCAAATTTAATGTGGAAATTAAAAATTAATGTCTCTAATATTTTGGGGGTTTATTATGATTTCATATTTTGTATTTTTATGAATTTTGCTAAATACGCATCTAACAATCCACTATACTGGCAAAGTAGCAGTATATAAATACTGGTGGCGGTTATTGTTGATAATAATGGGTTGTACATTTTAGCATAAATATTGTACTATACACATCATTTCAAATGAATCCTGTTTATTGCATCTTGGCATTAACATTGTCTAGAAGGTAGCAATGATTGCACTCTTTTGTAGAGGAACTTTTTAATTTTCCGATAATTGATTATGGTGCATATGAATTTTTATATGGTTTTCTATTTTGAAGTTTAATGCCTCTGTTTTCCAGCAATAATTTTTGCTTACTAATACCTTGTGTGCAATCTTTCTTAGGCTTGTAAACTGAAACTGGGAGATTTGACGGGAGCACTCTTTGACACAGAATTCGCTCTTCGTGATGGTGAAGACAATGCTAAGGCCTTGTTTCGCCAGGGTCAGGTTGGTCGTTTCTACTTTCTATTATAACTAGAATAAGAGTCTACTTGAAGTAGGACATAAGTTTTTATGAATCTGTTTTTTATATGAAATTTTCTTTAGTGTGTTTTGTTTAATCGGTGCTTCTAATGGTCACATAAGCGCCATGTTGATCGTGTTATTGGGTGCAAAATGTGAACAAATATTTAAATACAAGATTGAGTTCTATGCTGTAAGTTTTTGCATCAGTTGTGATGATACCACTCTAGGTGCCTTGAAAGGACTTGTGTTTTAATCTCCAAGTAGTTGTGTGTGAATTTAAAATGACACCGGGAATTTTAGAAGTAAAATGATTTCTTTACTTTATTCTGGTGGAGGTAGAATTAAAACTCCATAGCATTTTGAACCATATGTCAACATGTGTGCAGATAATTTAGGTTGAGGCAAGATCAAAGCCATGCGAATTAATTGTCACTCTTTAAAGTTATTACTGAAAATATGGCATGTTTGATGGGCTAGAAGTTCGTTGTTAATTTAGCCCTCCTCTGGTTTGGACACAAATTAGTTTTTTAGTAGATTTTGGTAATAGTTAGTGAAATATGTGGTTGAAAAGTTGATAAAAGTTATGTGTCCTATGAAATATGTGGTTGAGAATGAGTTTAAAGAAATGGGGGCCAAACGGGGGCTTAATATTTTGAAATAGATTAATGATGAATGGGTTGGGCTAAGAGTTCTAGTAGATAGGACAATGCTTAAGAAATATTTGAGCGTAGTTATCAATTATCTTCACGAGTTTATCGGTCCATATTTAAGACTTGGATGAGATGGAGATGGGTTGTCATAGTCCTCGTGGTGGAGTAATTTGGCTAAAACATCTGCATATGTTGGAAATTTGTTTATCTAATAAATAATATAATATATTAAATATCACGTCAAGTGAGAATAATTTTTTGGACAATTCTATCCTTGCTATAATTCAATTTTTTCAATAATGCCTTACTTTTCGTTTTTCAATATGTATTTAATTTATCAATCATTTGAACTATTGAAACAATATTATCATTAATTAATTAATATATTAAATATCAAATCAAGTGAGAATCATTTTTTGGACGATTATATCCTTACACAATTCATTTAGTTTGATGATACCTTACTTTCCATTTTTCAATACACATTTAATTATTTTAATAATATCATACTTTTCATATTTCAAAATGTATTTGATTTATTTAATCATTTGAACAATATTAATATATTATGATGAATTATTTAGTTATTATCAACTTACATTTGACAGATTCATTCCACTTGATTGGATGGTAAATTAAATTCATTAAAATTTTTTCGAACAAAAGATGAATATTTTTAGAGTTTTCTTTTAATTGATTTATTCAATGAATATTAAGATGCAGAGAAGGTAATCGAGGGTACATAATGCGTATATATGATAAATAATTTTAATTGATATATACATTACATATTGAGAGCTTGTTTGAACCCCATTTTTTTGACCGAAATGCATTTTGAAAATAATATTTTGGTGGAGAATGTGGTTAAATAATAAGGAAAAGTTTTGAATTTGCGTTTAATATTATTTTATTGAAAAATATGTTATTGAAATTAAGAGTGTGTTTGATTGACATGGAAAATATCACCTAAAAAAGAAAATATTTTCCTTCTTTTGTGGAAAATAAAAACCACCTCCACCCAAGGAAAATGTTTTCCTTAAAAACAAGGAAAATTAGGCATATTTTCAAAAGTTGGAAAATGTTTTCCATGGAAAAAATTAGCAGTCAAACACCTCAAGTAGGAATTTAGATGAAAAACTGATATTTTCCATGGAAAATAAATGTAATCAAACACACCCTAAGAGATAAATGTATTTTGAAAATAATGGGGGCCAAACAAGGGCCAAGTGTATATGAAGAAGTGATGGTGTTCATTGGATGTTTAGTTTAGATCAAAAGGGTAAATGGAGGGACTATTCTAATTTGCTTCTTGAACTATTTAAATTTTTTATTTATTATTTTTATTTTTTTTTTTTTAAATTTGAATCAAAAGTTTATTCCACATAAACAATTTGTATTAATTATTTTTTTTATATTTTCACATTTTCAAATATTATTTTTATAGCACCTATAAAGCATTTCAGTTGCACGTTCAACCATGACCAGTTTTCTTTAATTTGGTGAATTCTGAAGTTCCATGATCTCACTTGCTGACTCTAATACAGTTCGTGTCTATATTTTTGCTTTCTTATTTGTCACTTTTTTGTTCAATTCATGTTCACAAGACAATTCAAAGTACTCATGTTTGTAGCTTTCTTAATTGATCAGGCACACATGGCTCTCAATGATATAGATGCTGCAGTAGAGAGTTTTAAAAAAGCTCTGGATTTGGAGCCAAATGATGGTTGGTTACACTTTTTGGTGTTGTGTTTTCCTTTATTCAAGTTCTCTACACATTTCATGTAAAAGAATTGTGCATGTTCTGCACATCCTTAGTTTCTCGTGTTGCTTGAAAAAGCAGGCCCAAAGGAGAAAAGGAAAAAAAAAAAAAACAGAGTTTAAGCGTCAGCTTACAGTCTCTGGTTTACTCTGTTTCATTGTCGTGAAAATATATATTTAGGATGCTTTTAACCGTCAAGATCTGGTTTTTTTATAACATGTTAGATTTTTGTAATTGAGATTACTGAACTGAAGAAGGGAAAAAAAAAGGTTGAAGAGTCTTATGGCCCTTGTATGAACTTTATATCTGACTTTGTGCTTGCATTAATGTAGGAGCAATAAAAAAAGAGTTTACTGCTGCAAAGAAGAAGGTATGTTTTATTCAACTAATTCTTGGCGTTGAAAGATTATTTTGTACTTGATTAATGTTATCAACATGATGCAGTTCTAAGAGGCATGAATTCGGATACTTAATTCAATTATGACACGATACGGATATGCCAATATAGCTTTTTAATAAAACTTAGGATACGAGGATGTGTGTGTTATATCTGTGTAGTATTTTTGATAAGTTAAATATAAAATTCAGCACTATTTCACAATTATATAGGAGTTGTTCGGTAGTAATTATGAGAATTGATTTTTTGAACGTTAGAGAGAAAAGCGGGTCCTACTTGTGAGAGAAGAAGTCAAAAATGATTGTTGGAATAGTGAAATAACGGTAAAAAAATTGATTTTTTGGGATGAAAAATTGCTACCAAACGAGGGCATAATATTTTATTGTCCCGACTTCATCATCATTAAAAATAACATTATTCAATTCTAACCCATCTAATAATAAATTAGCAACTTCAAGCAGTAGTCCCTAATGCGTTTCAGACAATGTCATACAATTTGGATTCTTATTTTAAATGAAGATTTAATTTTCTTGATAAAACTCCCAAATAGCTATGATTGAAAACCAATTCTTGAGCTTATTATGAAATTAATTTATTCCTTTTCATAGAGTGTACAGAAAAGTATGTATTCCCCGTTAATTAATAAATAAAATTAATAGTAACAATAGTTCCAAGAGAGTTTAAAATCAATAAAACTCTTCTTTTTCACGTATATTAAGGTATCTGATACATATTGAAGATTTAATAAGTATAAAAAATATAAAATAATTGAAAAACACATAGCTGGACCCGGACATATCGGAGAGTGTTTAAGGGTATCCATGATTGGATACATATCGAATACGAGTACGTTATAAGTTTACAAGTATCATGTGTTTCTTAGGTGCAGATGACTGATTGTGCCTTTATTTTTTCTTCTTTCTTTTTGTGTTTTTGTGAATAGATTGCTGACAGACGTAACCAGGAGAGAAAAGCCTTTGCTAAGATGTTCACATAATGATCAAGTAAGCATACATGCATATAGTTTGAGGAACCAAAGAAAGTTTAACTTCACTTTAACTGTAGATTATGCTTCTGGTTCTGGGATACAGGGTGCCGCGCCCCAAATGGAGGAACTGCTTTTGCCCTTTTTTTATTTTTATTTTTATTTTTATTTTTAAGGTAGAGTCGGTTGGTTCAGGCCTTTTTTATCCAAGTGCTCTAATTACCGGATTGGGTCTGAGTTTAGAGGTAAAAGAGATCACCACCTGTTGGCAGATACTTGGTAAGCTCAGAACTTTTCTCTGATATCTTGTAGTTGGCTTAAATACACTCATTTTCGGTAAACTATTATCGAAATTTTATGTTAGTCACTAAATTTCACTTTGTTCTAAGGTGGCTGCTAAATTTAAACTTTATTTTAAGTTGCTCACTATTAGTGTGACTGTCGGAAAAGATGATGTGTCAGTTTACTATTAACTATTAGACTCATATCTTGTTTCACTAGTCAAATTAGTGGATGTGGACAAATCAAAGATCAGGTACCAACTTGAATGATCAGCATGAAATTTTGCTTAAAGTTAGCAACAGCCGGTGTTCTTAACCCTACTGTAGTTACCTTAATACAATAGCCATATTAAGGATGTTGATGATATCTATTTATCGTATAGAAAATTGATTTATGTACTGTTCCATTTTGATCTATCAGGTTCTCAAGAAGAAAGATGTGAGATTAAACCAGATCCTTTTTGAAAAAGTTAGTCACAGGTGTAATTGGTTGTGCCTGGACCATATACAACTAGAGCATGTTATAAAGCAAAGTAGCATCAACGATTTATTCGAATGGCATGAACTATTTTTATCAATTTTTCTTTTGCTTGAGAGACTAAATTTTGATTTACGGAGTACTAAAATTTCTATTTGAACCATCTACCTTTCATTGTGATCTACGAATATTGTATTTGTTTCGACTTGAAGTTTTTAAAATAGTTCGTTGGATATGGTGTTTACTTTTATATCTAAATCTTTGGAAGGGAAGTATAGCCAAAATGTTCAAGTCTAAATGCAAATTTACATGTATCTCGGTAAGGAAAAAATGCCTAGTTAATTAGACTTGGAAATTGGATTTACAATCATTTTGTCATCATCAACTCGTTACTAAATGGCAAGAGTTTACTTCAATTAGATGTGTGTATATATATTTTTTGATACAGTGGAGTGTCAATGTTATGATAGAATATCTCAAAGGTGCAAAAATTTCTATTTTCAAAGTCTCATTTTGCTTAAAAGAAGTATTTTCTCAACGAGCTATATTATCGAAAATTCTATAGCTTTTTACTAAACAAAGCCTGTAAGCTCGAGTTTTCGCTCTTGAAATGGAGGGGCCAAACCTATAACTATTGAGGGTTTCTCTTTTCTTTCAAGCCAAACTCGTTAAAGCTCATATGTAACATCAAATTAAGTTGACAAATGATGTTTTCATATGTGCTAACATGATTTTCCATATTTATGTATTATAGTTAATTTTTTTGGGATGGTAGAGGGGAGGTATCAATCCTCAAACCTTTGAGGACATGTGTGTTGCATGCAATTTTGAAACTGTACTGAGAAATTTTTTAAAATTATATGAAAATTGTAGTGCACTCGTAATGTTGCATTATTATAGAGGTCAGTAGTGGATGTAGACATTTTGAGTTAGTAGTGTACAATCAAATGTGAAAAAAAGTTGTAAAAAATTTAAGTATTCGATATTTTATTACAATTGTTTTTTGCGGATTCTCGTACTTTAATGTGATTGCTTAAAGTGACACGATCGAATGCTTTGATTCTTGAATGATTCACACTTGATCCGAGCATGATTGTGTGCGCTACTTGATCTTGCAACGCGTTTTCTAACAATTTCATTCTTTTTCCAATTTGAGAATTCGTCGTTAACAAATAAATTACCACTTAAGTTGAATAAATAACATTAGAAGCAAAATATATCATCTTTTGTTATATTGTATTCCAACTAACTAGAATGTTCATTATACCATGAAATACAAAATCATATATGCTATAAAAGTTTGTCTGGAAACTAATCAAGTAAAATACCAAGTGTGTTTCGATGATGAAATTCAAATATCTCATAGATCATTATATGTTATATTATAAAAGTTTTTAAAGTATTATATGCAAAATTTATATTTTTGTGGGCCCCGTTTGGGAGTTATTTTTTTATTTTACTATTCCAATCGTAATTTTTGACTTCTTCTTTCACATGTAGCCTTCACTTTTCTCCTAACGGTCAAAAAATCAATTCTCAAAATCACTAACAAACAGGCCCTTAATACATACATAATTTTTATATAAAATAAATTTAATCTTGCTCACTTATTTACTATTCATTTATTGAAAAGTAAAATTTTGAAACCCAAAAATTTGAACACTTAAAAGTTCCATGCTAAAAATAGATTTTGGGTAAAAATGTATTTTAGAATAGCAATTTCAAACTTATCTGCATGTTTCTATTTTTGTAATTCATCCTTATAATAATTTGTGAGTAAATTTAACAAATGCTCACTGAACTTTAGACTTGATTACTATTTACTCACTCATTTTTTAGGGATTACTGAAAACTTACTCATCTTTCCATATAGTTACTCATCCACCACTCGTCTCTTCAAATAATTGGACGACTTTTACGGCAACTTTTTGACAACTTCCGACCACCAAAAATGTTGAATTTTGATATCGTTGGAAAGTCCACGATGTCCTCTTCAATTACCACCCAAAATCTCCCTATAACTCCAAGGGATTTGATTGGAAAATTGCCTTAAAAGTCGACCCCAGATTTTCAAATTTTTTGGGTGACTTTTAAGCCAATTTTTCGGCAACTTCTGACCATCAAAACTGCCGAATTTTGATACTATTGGAAAGTCCACAATATCCTCTTCAATTACCACCCAAAATTTCTCCATAGCTCCAAAGGATTCGGTCGGAATAAACCCACAAAATCAGCATCCCGAAAAGGCGAAGATCTGGACAAAGTTCGGGATGCTGACTTTGTGGGTTTATTCCGACCAAATCCTTTGGATCTATGGAGAAATTTTGGGTGATAATTGAAGAGGATATTGTGGGCGTTCCAACGGTATCAAAATTCGACAGTTTTGATGGTCGGAAGTTGGCAAAAAATTGCCTTAAAAGTCGCCTAAAAATCTGAAAATCTGGGTAGATTTTCAAATTTTTTGGTCGACTTTTAAGACAATTTTCTAATCGAATCCCTTGGAGTTATAGGGAGATTTTGGGTGGTAATTGAAGAAGACATCATGAGCTTTCCAACGTATCAAAATTCGACATTTTTGGTTATCGGAAGTTGTCGTAAAAGTCGCCCAATTATTTGAAGAGACGAGTGGTGAATGAGTAACTATATGGAAAGATGAGTGAATATTCAATAACCTGTGAAAGATGAGTGAGCAAATAGTAACCAAGTTTAAAGTTCAGTGAGCATTGGTTAAATTTACTCAATAATTTGTTCTACAATAGCCATCTAATTTAGCACCTTGTTTGGTGGTCATTTTTTTTGACAAAAAAAAATTATTTTAAATAGCGATTTTTGGAATATGTGTGATTAAAAAAGTAGGAAAATTTTTTGAATTCACGTGTAAAATATTTTATTGTGAGAGTGTATGGTTGAAGACAAACAAGGCCTATCATTTGGAGTTAGTCACACTTTTAAAATGCTTGTAAAATAAAATTGAATGATTTATTTTCAAATAAATAAAGAATAATGGATCAATTTGACAAAAAAGGATAGGCTGACCAGGGGTACTTACAGTAGTACACAATACACCAAAAATTAGGCACAACAGGCATTTGTACCACCGCCTTCCCCTCCCCTCTCATTGGTAAGAATAAATATGATTTTGCGATGTATTAAAAAAAATAAATTAAATAAATCTTACTCTAAGCTTGTGGGTCGCCCATTAGACCCACTGTGGGTCCGCCCCTCATAGAAGTGAACCTGTTTGGTGATTTTGAAATTTAAAAAACATAGTTTTGAATAGTAAATTTTGGAGAATATGTAGTTAAAAAGTAATAAAAATGTTGGTTTTACATGTAGAATATTTTATAGTGTATGTATGGTTGAAAATGAATATAAGAAATAAATAAAAGTAAGGTAAATGGAATCAAACACGGCTATATATAGAGCAGTGTTCTAAATCTTCATCTGATTAAATTTTCAAAATCTGAAAAAAAAATTGAAATGACGGAATTATGATTCTACCATATATGTCTTTTTCATTCCGTTGAAAATCGATTTTACGGTATAGACGCTTATGACCTCCCTATCTATGCCTTGCGATAATGATTCCTCTGGCATTACGACCTTTACCACAATGATGCTGTCTATAGATCAAATTATTTCGTGGATTGAATTTCACTTGACTGTCTAGGGTTTCATTGCGTGTGTTTGGGGGTAGAAGTAACCTGCCATTACATGCCATGTGATTGCCATAAATTATCTTTCAGGACATTTTCAACATTTTCATCTTCCGTCGATATACACGTTCCATAAATTTATCCACCAATATATTTTATTTAAAAAGTAAAAGCAAAGAAAATTATGTTTGAAGACCGACTCAGGAGATTTGGACAATAAGCAAAAATAAGTGATATTTCGACAAAAGAACTCGAAACAGGTGATATTCTAAATACAATGCTTTTGTAAGGAAGCGATATTTTCATAAATTCGCAAATAATTAATTAATATATTTTTCCTGATCATGAAGTATTAATTTATCGAATTTAATTAAAAATGACACGCTCCCACTTTCTTTGTATCAAATAGAAAACTTCTTGTTGAAAAATAATAATACTCCTATATGGGTCCAATGGCACCAGTGGGATTTGCCTTTTGCTCTTTCTGGGATTTGTGGAGGAGATAAAGTTGGAATTACTTTCATTTTGACATCTTGTGTTGATGCCGTGATTGATTGATTTAGAGGAGGAATTAGAAGCCATGAATTGAGATCGAAAGTATTTCAAGGTTTTCCTCGGTATGAAAATACTAATACGAGAATTGGAGGAATATCAGGTCAAACTAGTAGATAGAAAATATGTGATAGAAGTAGAATGTAAAAATTTCTTTGTTCGTTTGACCCTCGATCAATCAATCTTTAACAAATCTAGTATGTGGAATTTTCAATTGATCAATTACACAGTAAGAAAATGCTATGAATTTTACAAGTTTGAGGAAAAGTACATAGTTAAAAATGAACCATCAACAAGGCAATCCACTTTGTGTTATAAATTGAAGATTTTTCAACCTTGTTTATCCATACAATGGGTTAAATGCTGCAACACCCCAGTGTGAGTAATCCAACTTAATCTTGATTTCTCTAGGCATTAGAGATTAGGAGATTGGTATCTTTGTGTCTTCTTATTTCTCCCCTTTCAAGAGCTCGAACATGCAGAGCCGATCTCAAGAATTTTGAGGCCTAAGAAGCTAATTATTATGATGCCCTTAAACACGTTTGCTTCTTTTTTTTTTCTTTTTTTTTTTTCAGTACTTAACTTATTTATATAAAAATGATATTCTTTTTGGATCCTGCTACATGTATCGATTTTTTTTAATAATTCCTTACTAACTATTTACAATAGGGGGTCAGGACCACATTTTGATATTTTTTTATTCATGAGTCCCGCATGCATATTAGATGGGATAAACAATTCGATACACCTTTGGGTGTACAAATAAAATTATTCTTTTTGTTGGTCATGAAGTATTAATTTATCAAATTTAATTAAAAATGATCTCTTACTTTCTTGGTATCAAATAGAAAGGCCCTCGCTTCATGTATAGAAGCCCTGTCTACAGGGGGCCGAGCTAGCCACCCGTGATAGGTTGGGGGCTATACAAGGGCCTGTTCAAAGGGCCTTTTCCAAATAGAAAACTTTTTGTTGGAAAATAATATTCATATGTGGGTCCAATGGCACCAGTGGGATTGGCCTTTTGCTCTTTCTGGGATTTGCG